TTGACTAGGGCCCTGTCCTGAAGTAAAAGGAGAAAGTGAGTTCACAGCAGCATCCAGGTCTCTGTTTTCAGGCTGTGAATGCCATGTGACTAGTGGCCTCAACCTCCTGCTATCATGCCTTCTTCACTACGGTGACTGTGCCCCTACACACTAAGCCAAAGCAACCCTTTCCTTAAGTTTCTTTTGTACTGTATCTTGTTGAAGCAATTATAAAAGTAACTAATATCACAGGGAATTGTCTTTCCCTGTGAAGACCATCACAGGAAGTAGTGACAATATATGAATCAACTGTGGAAGTGACAGTGCTGTGCCCTTATTTATTTCCTGGTTTAGGTTACCATTTTGCATGTATGTAAGAATTTATTTTAATTAAAAAATATGTGGTGTGTGCAGGGGTGGAGGGCTTGCAAGATGGCTCAGCAGGGAAAAGTGCTTGCTACCAAGCCTTGTAACCTGAGTTCAAGCCCTGAGAAACCCTTCATGGTGGAAGGATCGAACTACCTTCTGAATGTTTTCCTCTGACATCCACGCATGTACTGTGGCACACATGTGCATTCATGCATGAACACCCTCAAAGACACACAGATAAATATAAAAACGCTGATCTGTTTATGAGATTGACGCCGTCTACTGCATGAAAGGGGCACCTCATACCTGCATAAGAAAGGACGAACAAATGTGGCCAGCAAAGGGGGAAGTCAATGGAGATGCCGCATTCTAGGTGAAGAATGCACAAACACATGAGTCTGAGAGCCTGAAAGTACATTAAAATAAGGAAAACAAATCCTCCAGTCCTTAAAGGGAAGTAAAAAGGAAGCAAACATACCGTCATGTTGATTCATGCTCCCTTCTGCCACTTTCATTGGTCTCAGAACATCATCTTTGCTGTAAGGACACACAGTGGTGACACTGGCTCTGCAAACTAAGCAGTCTGGCTGCAGAGGGAAGGCCCTGTTTGGCTTTCAACCCATCCTGATTATCAAAGACAGTCCACTACATGCAGAGGAGGAGCGGTTTGTACCACACTCTCTGGGGCCCCAGATTTCCTGACTACCCGCAGGTCTCCAAGTCAGAAGACTTTTGAGATGAACATGCGTTTATAAATTCTGGAAATGAACAGGCTGATGGTACTTTCTCTACACCCACAGACCCACATTTAATGGCTTGAACAGAGAGCGATTTCAACCACACAATTGCTACAGGCTTTTATCAGCACGGGTTACAAGCCCTAACCAACTAACCAATAGTAGACTGAGCTCAGTCTTCCAATTCATAAAGTTTCAAGATGTAACTATATCTATCTCTCTATTTCTCTCTCTTTCTCTGCCTCTCTCTCTCCATCCCTCTATCATCTCTATTTATAAATATAATAGATATAAAAATATAAAACACTTATGTATTTATGAGATAGACACACACATGCATACGAGAGAGAGAGAGAGAGAAAGAGAGAGAGAGAGAGAGAGAGAGAACAGAGAGAAACTGCATAAGCACAAGCTTCAAAGTGAGCTTGCCAGGCTCTCCATTTGACGGCTTTCTTATGCTTTTCTCTCAATGGACAATTTAGCCAAAGGAAGTGTTCAGAGAGTTTCCCAAACATACTAATGTGGTAGTAGCAACTGGGGTAACAGGGAGGTGGCCCAGTGTTGGCTAAACTACAGAAAGATGGTTTGTACTCTGCCTGGCACACCCTGAGGGTTTTTTGAGAGTAGATTTTTCAACTTTTGCTCTTTCTTACATAACCATGTTAGAGTTGGGTGGCATCTGATTAAGTCTAAACGCTAGATCACAGAGGAAAGTGTTCAGCTTGTGAAGATCCCACCTCCATCAGTTAACCCACGCTTTATCTGGGCATATGAATATGAATATTTCAAATTGCTGGAAATAAAAAGCATACTGTTTCTTTGAGAACCTTGGGAAATGTAAGGTAAAGGAGTCTTACACCATCTTTCCCAGACAACTCCAAAAACAAGCTAAGAGGCAGAAAACCAAAACCACCAGGGAAGTCAGGGTTTCATGAGAGGACTATCTAGAGAAATGTATTATAATCTCCTACTAAGAACAAACTCATATGCAATTCAAGGAAAAGTCAAAAGTAGAAAAAGTACCAGGAGGGTCAAAGGTGGAGGAGTAGAAAGGGTACAAAACAATCAGAAGCCAACACTGACAAAGGCAGGAGCTTGTGTCTCTGAGCAGATGTGAGAGAGAACAGCAATGTCTACATATACCCAGGCCATAGGGGACACACAGTGCAGGCAGGCAGAGAGCAAGTGCTCCTGCCACCGGTGCTGGAAAAGCATTTAATGCAAGCAGCTTCACATCTCCAGCTCCAGCTTCCTTACTAGGCCTTGGCAGTGCAAGGGCAAGGGTCCCACTGGGGACTGTCACTCATCAGTCTGAGAAGAGACAGGTGCTGACAGCTCTGTCCCTGACCAGCTTGACTGTAACCCATTCAACACCATGAAAGTTTGCATCAAGGATGGCACTTATGGTAACCAATGCCCTGGCACCATGCAGCTGGCATGGCACATTGCACCTACACAGAGGTGCGGCTTCTGCCAGCATCACTGCATCTTCTGAAGCCACTGTGCCCGGGTGCTCACATAGCGACTCATTGTTAGATAATCTTCCATTCACTCTTACAGTCTCGTCTATCATTTTACACGTCTAAATGGATGTGTGCACACATAGTTTTGTGGCTTTCACTTCACGACAGCATTGAGTTCACCTCGATTGTTATGGAAGGTGGTGCTGGGGGAAGAGGGCAGATTCCGCTGTATGTGGATGAGGACACTGTTCTGTTCTGGTTTCAGAAGCAGACTCCAGGCAGAGAATAATGCAGACTCACCCTGCAGAATGGATGAGGCTGCATCTCTCTCTCTGGATTTAAAATCAGCAGCCTCTTGTAAGAACTAAAGTTCCCCCATGAGGTTCTGCTACTAGCTTGCTCACTGCCTTGAAAACACGAGATTTAGTGTGGGAAAACAGAAAGCCTAACTCTTCTCATGAACACACACACACACACACACACACACATGCACACATGCACACACCCCACAGCACCATCAGACTCATGCCCTGGTAATAAACCCTAACGCAGACAATGAGGTGAACTGGAGCACATATCTGCAGTCCCGAGAATCACTGTATCATGTCAGGAGAGATTAGAACTCGACGGAAAAGGGCAACACAGTGTCAGCCGTGATTATGTATGTGGCGGCTCTCTATCGGAATCTCCCTCCTTTATGTCTCAACACTGGGGCCTGATTAATATTTTACATACTGTCCAAAGTGGGAGGGGGACTTACCAGAAACCCGTACTGAACATTTCAAACACAGATCATCCTCTGCCAAGAGAAAATCCTGCCCAGCTGGAGATTTCGCGTTTGCAAAGCTTAAGAGCAATGAGATTCCGTGACTTGGAGAAACTGGCTGTCCCACTGATGCCTTGGCAAGACAGGCTGTACTTATCTTTTTGAACAATAGACTCAGAAAATGGATTCGCTTTCAAAAGCTATGGTAATGCATTTGGACTCTGCTGCCCAAGTAAGCTGCTGTTAGAGAATGCACCACGCTAGGCTGGAAAGTCCAAAGCACAAGATTTAACCCCAAGTTCAGAACTCTTTTGAAGGTCAAATGCAGTGTAACCATCTTAATAGTATCCTTAAACAAAACCAAATAGGCTTCAAATACATAAATGACCACCTGGCTCTTATTCTCAGCCTTAACTCAGGTATTTAGCTTCCCTGGGAAGACTCAACCACGTTTTTTATTAATTTTGTTCCCCAGAGGACATAAAATTACCCAGAAAGAAACCACTGCTCAATTGGTTCATGTAAAACTGGAACATTGACAATACCGTTCTCCGTCTTCTTTGCACTTTGTGCCCCCAGGAGAAGAAGCCTGTGGTCACATGACCATGGGTGATGCAAAACTTCACTTATGGTTTAAAATAAAAATTCCCAGGAAATGCAAATGTTGTGCAAAAGTGTCTGGGACAGCAAACTCCTCAGGTATTTGTGCTGGTTTTCTGGCTTCCTGTTTGGTGATTATGGAAGTGGATATAGCCACGGATGACCTTCCTGTGGCATCTAGCAGGTCACCTTGGAATCTCGTATTTGCTTTTTCTTTAGCAGGAGTTTGAATAATTAAGTCCCCAGAAATATTCATTAAATGAGAAATCTGAATGATCCAAAACAGCACCCATATGAAATCAGGTCTCTCAAACTTGGCCACAAGAGCCCACACAATGAGGTGAGAAACAACCGGCTTCCTATCTGCACGCTAGAACTCTGCCATGTGTTACCCTAACTCCAAAGCGCTGCATGGTGCCACTGAGAGACCTCCCAATGACAGCCTTCAAACCTGCTACGCAGTAACTGAAAATGACGAGATAGATGGGTGTGAAGTGAGAGGACCCCAATATCCACTTTGACCTGTTTGTCTCTGGGCCACCAGATCGTCCAACAGACCGCAGGCAAACAGCCGAGAGGGGAGTGTGAAGGGACACAAACAATGCCTGTGCCGAGGCTGCACTGTGGTGTGAGCACCGAGGAACAGACAATGACTTTGAGGCTGATACACTCACACCGAATATGTACAGAGTCCCAATCTGTCCAACAGGGGGCCGATCATCTGTTTCTAACTAGCATGTAAACCCTCTGAAGGTTGTTTTGTGCAGGGCAGGAATAGAGGCATAGCAAACAGATGTAGGTCCTCATGGGAACAGATGTAGGTCCCCATGGGAACAGATGTAGGTCCCTGTGCAAAGAGCCAAATTGTGAACATGCCCCCTCCAAATCCAGCCTCTCCTTGCCGAAGGAAACTTCACACCAAGGCAATCAACACCTGATCAGGTTACACACCACCGGAAAAGTATCCTGCTCCCCACCCATCCCCACAAGGGGCACCCCTAACCCCAGCCCCTAAACATCCCTCTGCGAGCCAGGCAAAGGTGAATGGCAGGCAGTCTATCCAGACACCAGCCAGTGTTCACATACCTCAATAATCCTGTCATGAATTTGCAGGCCTCCTTCCTTGGCTGCCGGCCCACTGTCAACTATTTTGGATACAAAGATTCCTTCACTGGAGGGTCCATCTTGATTGTCCTTAGGGTTAAGAAAACATAGGCATGAATGCTAGGCATGGAAGCTGGCATGAAAAAATAAAATCAAATCAAAAAACAACTTTGCCCTCTGTGACCCCAACTTGTCAGAAGTGGTGTTAAAGGTAAAAGCTGTTTGTTTCCCTTCATTTCTGTTTTAACTGAAACTGGCTCATATGTATTATAAAAATATTCCAAACTGGAGCCAAAGTCAGATGATGGGAGGAGTGCGCTATCTTCGAGCAGCCGTCCTCCTTCCTCCATGAGGCTTCTATTTCAGAGTGTGTATTCTGTCCAATAATACACATCACCTTCCTCAACACGAGTCTGCTCCTCCTCCTACACATAGCAGGATCACACCAAGCCCACTCTTCATGCACATAGCAGGATCACACCAAGCCCACTCTTCATGCACATAGCAGGATCACACCAAGCCCACTCTTCATGCACATAGCAGGATCACACTGAACCCACTCTTTGGCCCTTAGCTTTATATTTTCTTTTCATTTCCATTTATTTCCCTTTACCTTCCCACCCCATTTTCCATCCCACTACCTCCTCTTTTCTCTCTGCTCCTTCCCTCCCTCCCCTTTCCATATTTCCTTTCTTCCCTCCATCCTTCAACCCCTTCATTTCTTTTCTTCCTGCCCTTTCTCTTTCCTTCTTTTCTCTCTTCCCCTTCCTCCATGCCTCATTTCTTTCCTGCTTTGGGAGCAACTAAGCCACACTTCCTAGCACTGCCCTGCTTCCCCAGTCTGAACAGGACTCGAGTTCAGGAAGGATGGACAGTGTCTGCAGCTCTTACCATCAGAAAAGATAAATCACTCTGATTTAGTATTTTGAAACATCATTGCTCACAGACACCTAACAAAGAGTCCTTAGCAATTTGAATAGTTGGGCCAAATTTATACAAGAGGCAAACACAGTTGGCTGGCCCTCTAGAGACTGCCCTGAGATTTCACTAGACACTGGCCCCAGTTGCTACCCACACAAAGAATTGCTCCAGGAGTCACTATGTAATAATCTAACTATGAAATGAGATATTTACGAATAAAGATGAAGAGGTCAGCTCATTTCTCAAAGTCCCTCCTTTCCCCGACTGGAAAAGGATCCAACTGCTTGTTCTGGCTTCAGCTTGTTCATGAACTTCTTTCTACATGGTACTGGGACAAGTCTTTTCCAAGTGTTTAGAACGTTCTAGTGATTAACAGATGGGTTCTTAAATTACATGGCACATGCATGTGCTGTTTCCAAACAAAAGCATCTGATAATATGCTTGATCTTACCCAAAAGGCCAATGAAACAAGATGACTTGAAAAGGGAGCAGAGGACACTTCAGAGAACTCCAAACCAGTGCCATGCTAAATTCTTTCCCATAATGCTCTCTATAGAAGTACATAAAAATACCATGGCCCAAAAGAACTATGAAAATATAACCTTTTCATTTTCAAACAGGAAAGAGAGATGGAGGGAGGGAAACAAAACAAAATATAGAATGGAAGGGAGGGGAGAGAAAGAGATAGAGAGAAGGAAAGGGAACCATTCTAAGGAACTATATCTAAGGCTAAGAGAATGCACTCTGCAGCCTCTTCTCCCTTCCCTCTCTCCCTCCTTCCCTCCTTTCCTCCCTCCCTCTGTCTCTCTTTGGCTCTTACTTTCCATCTCTGTCTCTGTCTCTCTCCATATATGCCAGAACAAAGCAAAAACGCCAAGTTAGCACGAGCATAAGTGTTTATCCATTCTCCATTGCTGCATGTCATTGACATATCTCTAAGTGCCACCCGAGCTCCATCAATGCTTCCTTAGAAGATGGGTCGGCATTGGCATGGGTGTTGCATGAGGTTCTCTTTACCTGGCATCTCTGCTTACCATCTCCGCACTCAGCTCACACTAACCCTTAATCAGCTAAGAAACTACAAGTATCCTTTCTCTCTTAGCAGCCTCATTCATGCCTGCATCCCAATCCAGCTTCCTACACGAGCATCACAAATGCCAGTACAATGAGGGTTTCTATTTACCAAGGACTCATGAGACAGCAGGTGCCTGCATCATTTAATCCTCACAATAACCCCAGCAGTAAGAACTACTGCCGTCTATCCCACAAGAGGAAAGCCTGAATTCAGAAAGGCTAAATGCACATAGCTAAAAAGCAGCATTAGTTCATAGAGGCTAGGAGATCCTCAAAGGCAATCCTCTTTCCCAATGAGAAAACTTACAAAACACGGATGCAGAGGTCCAACATCTCATCCGCATGGCATTCTAATTAAGGCAGCTGAAAAGCCTCACTGGACAGCTAAAGGTTTCGAAGCAAGCAGGGTTTCCCACAGAGGAGATGCGATATATCTCATGAGAAAAGGACCTATCTTTATTTACCCACTTTACATTTCCTGGCCAGAGAGGAGATTCAGGAAGGGATTTGGGTTTTGGTTTGCTCTGCAAAATACTAAACTGTGTCTAAGTAATTATTATAAAGGGATGCAAGAAAGTTCAAGCAAAAAACCTGACAGGAACAAGCGAGACCCAACACTGGAATTAGTGTAAGATGGTGGTGAAGGCTGAGGCCAGGATACAGAAAATACGAAAAATGCTATGATTATAAGTCAGCTGGGCTGGGAAAGCACTTGCTTTAAACATGAGGACCTGAATTTCAAGGTACTAAAAAACTCTGCACACACACACACACACCACACACACACACACACACACACCACACACACACCACACACACACACACACACACACACATGAATTTATACACATAGGAATCACAAGAATGAAATGAAGGAAAACCATTCCTGACAGCCAGATTTCCCCCTTGGGTATCTGTCTCCTCTCTTAGCCCGTCGGGCTCCTCCTCTAACATACTCCAAGTCAGATCTATTTATCAAGGTGAACTAATGTATTTGTTCAAGGTGAACTAATGGGATTTGTTTTACTGTCTTGAGTCAAAGAAAAACAAGAGTTACTTTCATCTCAGGAGTACTAAGATATAAAATACACTTGCCCAGGGCCTAAGTGACAGGAAATACCTGACCAGCTACTACGTCTTAGGGGACATAAGAATTGATAAACAAGCGCTGTGGTTTGGCTGACAGCACTGTGCAATGACAGTCCTGATGTCAGAGTCCCTGGGCTGGGCTATTTCGCAGTCCACAGCAAACAGGAATTCCTTGAGAAACACACTCACCATTCACATCACTTTCAGCTTCAAGACCTGATCATGTGTATGCCTGGTGGCTCAGTTCTGGTTCGCCTAAAACTTGCTATGTAGAACAGACCGGTTTCAAACTCAAGAGATCTGCTGGAGTGCCTTTCAAGTGTTGGGATTAAGGACATGTGCCACTGTGCCTGGAATTCAGCTCAGCTTTTTCCTGTGTTCCAGAGATCGGCCAGACCCTCCAGGTGAAGGGCGAATACATTTAGATTTTGATAACCTTTTTCTGCTCATCAGGAGACGTACATCCAAGAAGGCAGTAAACACATCCATGTGGAATGAAACTTTCCTCTGGTTTCTGATGTTTGCTATATGTGCTTTATATTATATAGAATACTCCTGTGCACTGACGTGTGTGTGTGTGTGTGTGTGTGTGTGTGTGTGTGTGTGTGTGTGTGTAAGATCACAGGTAGGCATCAGGTATCTTCCTCTATTGCTTTCCACATTTTAGAAAATGGCTTTTATATTTTATATGGATGTGAATATGTAGGTCAGAGGACAGCTTGAGGTAGTCAGGTCTCTCCATCATGTGGGCCCTAGGAACCAAACTCAAGTGTGCAAACACTACTCACTGGACTATCTCACCAGCAGCTCCAAAACTCATTTTATTTTATTTTATTTTATTTTTTGAGACAGTTTTTCACTGAACCTGATCTTGCCTTTTGAGCTAAACTAGCTAGCTGGGATAGTTAGTATCTGGAATCCCCCTGTCTCTGCCCAACTTCCATCATTATAAATACAACATCTGGCTCTTTATGTGGCTGCTGGGGATTGAACTCCAGTCTTTGCACAGTGAGCACTTTACTCACTAAGCCAGTTAGTTACTCAGGTCCCCATGCATATCATTAGTTCAAGACCAAATCAACAGAGAACTCTCAGGAAGGCTACAAAATCAAAATCAGGTTGGGGTTGTATTTAAATCAACTTTTTTTTTTTTTTTTTTTTTTTGGTTTTTCAAGACAGGGTTTCTCTGTGTGACAGCCTTGGTTGTCCCACTTTTTAAAAGGAAAAGAAGTGGGAACCCCAACCCCCCCCCACCTCTTTGAAAAGCAGAAATCATCTTCCCAGGGAGTAGGCATGACCTTTCACCCATCCTGGGGTGAGCCTGCCAAACAGCCTCCTGGACCCAGCATAATGGGTTTCTCAGCAATCACCTCCCATAGAAGCACCTCTCGGCACCAGGATTTTGTAAACACTGGGCTTTGATGTGGTTCCACCTGGGGCAGAGACAAGGTCTTCCTAGTTCAGGCTCTGTTCCCTGTAGCAGCTTCTGAAACTTGTAGTAAGTGAAGTGGATCTTAGTTTACAGAGGTTGCTTTAAAACTGACGGCAGGAGGTGGGTAGAGGAGGGGCCATCATCACAGATGCAATTAAAGGGAATCCCATCTTGTCTCCACGCTAAGTCACTTATGGGCTTTCTTGTTCTGTCTTTTCCTTTAGGGAGCTGTGTGTGCTGGCCAAAGCCTCTAGTGATGAGCAATGCCCCCTCCCCCTACACACCCTTACCAATAGGTCCTTTTATAAGTTGGCACTTGCCCAAGGTCCTCTTTGTTGTTAGCTGAGGTCAAATGCTTACATACTGAGGATTGCCTGTTTCCCTCCCCCTTCCCCACACTGGGGCTTCAAGGAACTAGATCAGAACAACCTGATGACACACAGCCTGGAGTCATCATCAGCCAGGACACACAGCCTAGGGCCATCACCAGCCAGGACACACAGCCTAGGGCCATCACCAGCCAAGACACACAGCCTGGTGTCATCACCAGCCAGGACACACAGCCTAGGGCCATCACCAGCTAGGACACGCAGCCTAGGGCCATCACCAGCTAGGACACACAGCCTGGGGTCATCACCAGACAGGACACACAGCCTAGGGCCATCACCAGCTAGGACACACAGCCTGGGGTCATCATCAGCTAGGACACACAGCCTGGGGTCATCACCAGCCAGGACACACAGCCTAGGGTCATCACCAGCTAGGACACACAGCCTGGGGTCATCACCAGCCAGGACACACAGCCTAGGGTCATCACCAGATAGGACACACAGCCTGGGGTCATCACCAGCCAGGACACACAGCCTGGGGTCATCACCAGCCAGGACACACAGCCTAGGGCCATCACCAGCTAGGACACGCAGCCTAGGGCCATCACCAGCTAGGACACGAAGCCTGGGGTCATCACCAGCCAGGACACACAGCCTGGGGTCATCACCAGCCAGGACACACAGCCTGGGGTCATCACCAGCCAGGACACACAACCCAGGGTCATCACCAGGTAGGATACACAGCCTGGGGTCATCACCAGCCAGGACACACAGCCTGGGGTCATCACCAGCCAGGACACACAGCCTAGGGCCATCACCAGCTATGACACACAGCCTGGGGTCATCACCAGCCAGGACACACAGCCTGGGGTTATCACCAGCTAGGACACACAACCTGGGGTCATCACCAGCCAGGACACACAGCCTGGGGTCATCACCAGCCAGGACACACAGCCTGGGGTCATCACCAGCCAGGACACACAGCCTGGGGTTATCACCAGCCAGGACACACAGCCTAGGGCCATCACCAGCTAGGACACGCAGCCTAGGGCCATCACCAGCTAGGACACGCAGCCTAGGGCCATCACCAGCTAGGACACACAGCCTGGGGTCATCACCAGCCAGGACACACAGCCTGGGGTCATCACCAGCCAGGACACACAGCCTGGGGTCATCACCAGCCAGGACACACAACCTAGGGTCATCACCAGCTAGGACACACAGCCTGGGGTCATCACCAGCCAGGACACACAGCCTGGGGTTATCACCAGCTAGGACACACAACCTGGGGTCATCACCAGCCAGGACACACAGTCTGGGGTTATCACCAGCTAGGACACACAGCCTGGGGTCATCACCAGCCAGGACACACAGCCTGGGGTCATCACCAGCTAGGACACACAGCCTGGGGTCATCACCAGCTAGGACACACAGCCTGGGGTCATCACCAGCCAGGACACACAGCCTGGGGTTATCACCAGTCAGGACACACAGTCTGGGGTTATCACCAGCTAGGACATACAACCTGGGGTCATCATCAGGTAGGACACACAGCCTGGGGTCATCACCAGCCAGGACACACAGCCTGGGGTTATCACCAGCTAGGACACACAGCCTGGGGTCATCACCAGCCAGGACACACAGCCTGGGGTCATCACCAGCTAGGACACACAGCCTGGGGTCATCACCAGCCAGGACACACAGCCTGGGGTTATCACCAGCTAGGACACACAGCCTGGGGTCATCACCAGTCAGGACACACAGTCTGGGGTTATCACCAGCTAGGACATACAACCTGGGGTCATCACCAGGTAGGACACACAGCCTGGGGTCATCACCAGCCAGGACACACAGTCTGGGGTTATCACCAGCCAGGACACACAGCCTGGGGTCATCACCAGCTACAAGAGAGAAAACAGTAAAGCCCCAGTCTCACAGGCTCTCCAGTTTGGTAAGATTTTCACAGAGATGATGGGAATCTATGAGCTCATTCCTCTGGTTTCGTAAAGTGGGAAAGGCTGAAGCCCCCACCCGACATTTAAAATGTTGTCCCAGACAGATGACGCTCATCATTTTATCTACTACATATCGTTTATGACAAAACTGTCAGTTTTTAAAAACAAAACTTTGTTTTTGAAACTGTGGTTTTGGCTAAAAGCTACAGGAATTCCACCATAAATCTCATGTCACTCCCCTTGAGTGAAAACACAGTGTGGTAAGTCACTGCCCACATTATTCCAGACTCCAGGCCCAGCACCGACTTCATCTTCTTTTGATCATTTCTCTGCATATCCCTCAACTCTAATCATTTGATTATGTCTAGTTGCCCCAAATCCTACCCCTGTCCCTACTCTAGTTTTGCGAGTGCTGCCAAACCCACTGTTTTCTATCTTAGTGATTTTAAATAGCTTCAAAAATGTGTGTGTGCGCGCACACATGTGGGAGGGTTCATATGTGCGGAGATAAAACATAGATCATGACTCAGGGCACAGTGATAAATATGTAGAAAACCAGCACTCAGGAGGCCGAGGCAACAGATCACACAGTCTAGGCTAGAGTGGATTTGTAGCAAGAGCCTACCTCTAAACCTAAATGTTCCTTTGATTGAGCAAAGTTCTATCCATCTTTCAGAACTCAATTCAGTGGCCCTTATCTAGGATTCTTCCCCCTTCAGGGCATCTCTAGTGGTCCTCACCTACTCCATCAACCTCTCTATGGAGGTGTGAGCTCCAGGAAAGCTGGGGCAGGGGATATTACCCATCTCTATAGGGCTGGCACCTTCTTCTGCTTGGGGATTCAGCACACCATCTTCTCTAGGTTTTCCTGACTCCCATTATTACTGACGACCGTTGCTTTGCCCTTCGATTCCCTTTTTCAACACACTTTTCCCACTCCTATAGTTGACAAGTGGACTTGCTTTGTGCCTGATTGAACCCCTGTCCAGTAATCATACTCTGACTACAGAGCTTCAATCTCCTTGGCCTCTATTGGACTTATCCACCCCTAGCAAATAACCGTGTTTACTATGGATTTGTTGAATGAGCAAACCTTGTTTTCTTGAGCTATTTTTAGCTGGTAAGCCAGGAAATGGTCAGTGTGAGGAGAGGAAAAAGCAACAGCAGACACTCAGCTAATTCTCCTTGGATGATGAGAGCCTGAAAAACATTCCTTGCTATTCCCCAGAACTCCATCTGCAGACATTTTCTTCAAAGCTAAGCTGGCAGAGGGGAATTTGGTCCCTTCTATCTAGTAGAGAGGCCATCGAGGGATGGGGTGGCTAAAGAGTTGCCCTTAAGAAGACTGGATGGGATGGAACCTTGTCCATGGGTAACGCCAAGGTGGCAGAACAGAGTTCAAGGTGTCATTTCCACATGGGTCCAGCTCAGTAGTGAGGTCACTGATCACCCATTTCTAACCACATCTATACAACTTCTTTCAGCCCTTCAGCTACATGATCAGTGAGGTAACCCAAAAGGTTAACAGTTTGAAAGAGAGGTACTACTAAGCCACTACTGTCACACAAGCGTGTGAAACCTCAGGCACAGGACACTGCTTAGCATGAACAGGTCTGAGTGGGAAACGACAGACACAGAACAAGGCAAAGAGAGACAGCAGAATGAAGCTAGCGAGTGTCCAGTCCTCACAACCCAGACCTCAACCCCTCTTCTAGCCTCCACTGAGAAAAGGAAAAGATAGTTTAGCAATTAACATACCACACATGGCCGGCCGCCAATAATATTGAATCCCAGGGAGCCAGAATCCCGGTGAAGAACAAGAGTCAGGCTTTTGGTTTCTTCACCCTGCAAGACAACAAATTAGTTGAAATGTTGATTTACAAACAGGAAATTGAGGGTAGGTATTATATATATGTATATAGATATATATACATATATATAAAGCTAACTATTTTATAAACCTTTATCTCTTGAGAAGTTCAGCCAACGAAAATTCTAGAACCCAATATGAAATTCAGCCCTGCCTTTAGGACCTCGCAGACATGCCTGGATATTGTCTCAACCTGGGATGACCACAAAAGAATGTCTAGAGGTGTCCAGACAGGCCACCAAGCATTCATTATCAATGACTCTTTGGCTTACCGATGCAGCCTTCTTCTGAGTGGCCTGCTGGACGCTGGCTGTCTAGACAGTCACTCTCTTGTTTGTTTCTCAACGCTTCTCAAGGACAGCATTCATGTCATGTCACGAGAGGGTCAAATGGCAATCCTCTCGGAAACGTGAGCACACGCAATGGCCTGTCAATAGTCGTCTGTTTGGGGGACTCGGGGGTGGGGGAGTGTATGTAGGAAACTGTCAGCTGCAAAATGTGGAGTGAAAACAGAAAGCTCTGAATCGTGCTGCAAAGAGGAGGGCTCCTTTCCACAGACAGTTACTGTCTGATGTACATGAAATATAGAAGCACTTAACACCAAATATGCTGGGCAGGGCTGGACATTATGACACCCTTAAATCCAACAAAATGAAGTCACCTGGGACAGGTCACACAAGTAGCCAAAGGAACAGAAATGCCAGGCACCCTAGCTAATGCTGTCAAGTGATAGAAGAACAGGAAAAGCAGATGCATTCTCATGTCCAAACTGTTCCTCTTTGTTCTGTGATATACACGTTAAGCCCACTAACATTGCTTTGGAATTTTGTCTAGTGAGACAGTTTACAGCTTTCTGTGTTGGACACTGGGAATCACTAAATCCATTTCTTCCTGTGCTCTCTTAGAAGGGTGAAAAGTTAGAAATACATGGTACGTTGGACGAGTTATCTTACATGGCTTACATGCCTGGCTTTCATAACAATCAATGATGGAAACCGTACAGTTACACACTAATCCAAGGCAGATGGTTGTGCTTTGACAACCTCAAATAGTGTATGAAGAAAAATGCATGATCAAATGAACACAAAGGTTATTTTCAAATCTACTATGTGAGAATCATAAAGAGAGGAGGGGGGCAAGGGAGGAAGCAAACTTGGAAGAGAAGGGGAGGAGAGGTGAGGGAAGGGGGAAGGATGGATGAAAAGAAAAGGGGCAAAAAGCAAAGAATTTTATTCTACTGCATTTCCAGTGGCAACAGCTAATCTTTTCAGTGTTCGCTATGTGCCAGAAACTACACTTGAAGTAAAGTGCTTTATTTTGATGTGGGATGGCCTTCTGTATATTTGCTGCTTATATTGGTTCATAAATAAAGCTCTTTTGGCCAATGGCTTAGCAGAGTAAAGCCAGGTGGGAGATCTAAACAGAGATAGAGAGAAAGAGTAGGTGGAGTCAAGCAGACGCCAGCGAGCCGGCTGCCAAGGAAACAAGACATGTAGAAAATGAGGTAATGTTACAGCCACATGGCAATACACAGACTAATAGAGATGGGTTAATTTAAGATGTAAGAGCTAGCTAGAAATATGCCTGAGCCATTGGCCAAATAGTGTTGTAATTAATATAGTTTCTGAGTGATAATTCAGGTCTGGGCGGCTGGGAAATGAAAGTACAGTTTCTGTTTACATTATTTCATTTACTAACTCACACAGGTCTATAAACTGATGCCATTACCATTCTCCCACTGTAGGAAGACTGCCCCAAAGTTGTTACCTGTCATTGGGCTAACACTAAGTTGAGCTTGTATATAGATGAACACCCTCCAGTCCTATCCATCTGTCATACTTCTTTGTCTCACTGTAGCATGTAAAAGGTAATCTTAAGCAGGTCTTTAAAATCTATACCCTGCCCCACATGTTTCAGCTGCTAAAGTTCCTGGAAAGGAATTCATTGTAGGAAGACTTGCCCAGGAGACAGAAACAGAACAAAATCATGTTTGAATTGAACTATATATTTCCAAAGGATCTGAGGTGCCCAGAGACATGGCCTCGGGTATCTCGGAGCGATTAAGAAAACCATGCCAGAAACACATTATTCCTGAGCCCAACAGCAGCTTGCAAAGAAATGTCTCGATGATCAAGTTGGCCTACATCTCCTCCCCAGAAGCAATCAAAGGGAAGTAAGAAGGATGCTTCACAACCGCCTTGAACTAGTCTGCTGACAATACAGAATTCAGATGGCACACCTCTTAGGGCTGAGACACAGCAGTAATCCAACGTGCAGTAGACTCACTAGGGATACTGAGCTGGCTAAGGTGAACGTCACCGTGAGCTGAGTTCTTTCATTTCTCCACCCAGCTACCAAAGGCTAGTCTCCGTTCTTCCCCACGAGCTTCATTCTGCTTTTCCTTTCCTACTGCTTTCCCCAGCAACCTTCACTAGCTCAGTTGTGCAGGTGAAATACAAACTGTGGTTTTCAACACCAGATGCCAGACAACACGCTGGAGATACTAAAATTCATCTCTGAAAAACTGGGTAATCTGTTCCTGGGCTCAAAATGCTTTAGAATTGAGTTGTGGAAATGGTTTCCATCCAGTTATATTTTCACCAACTGAAGAGAGGCATCCAAAGGAGATGTGTGAGGCCCTCACCCTTGCTGCCTTCCTAACGCGTCACACTTTATTACAATGGTATCTTTAATTTAGAAGAATATTTGAGCAGTACTGGATCATTTGGGAGCTTATTACAAGCCATGTTATGCAATTTTCTTCAAAGTTAAATGTGGAGGAACTGACATGGGAACGAGTTCTTCTTATGGGAATGGCTGATTAAATGGCACATCTGCCTCTGAGCACAGGCATTCCATTAGCACGTTAGACCTGGAGAAACTTAGGCTCAGGGACAAACAAACAAGGTTGGGTAGAAGTAAAGTAGGAGGAGCCTAAAGACTACAACCCAAGGTCTGTGAAACTCCAGCACCCATGTTCTCTGTAGGATGATGACAAATGTTTACATTCTATCCCAAATCCATCTGTCCCAGGTATGTCAATCTGCCACCTGAGTGGCAGCAATCTGAGAGGCAGAAGAAATACCAGGTCGACACATGACAAACATAAGGCAGGCAGCTCAGACTCTGAGCAGAGCACAGACGAGATAGGCTGGGGGTCAGCAGAAAGATAGTGGGGCACATGGGAGCGAAGGGGATGCAAAGCAGGTGTCACTTGAGCCATCACAAACTATAAACTAGGAAGGCAGAAGAGAGGGGGACAGGGTTACTAGGGATGGCTGCACACTCCGGAGAGCACCAAGTCCCACCAGATCATGGGGTTTAAGAATGAGAAGGAAGCAAGAGAAGGAAAACGGCAGCAAGCAGAAGTGAGGAGAGCTCTCCTTGGGAGCTTTGCCTTCAGTTGTCCATACTCTGACGATTCCCATGTCTCTTCCCCTGAAGGATTTCCCAGAACCCAACAGACAGAGGAGCATTCACTGCAATAGGGGTGGAAAAGAAAAGCAATTCATTATGGAGCCCAGAGACACCTCTATTTCTTGTAGCTGGACAGAGAGTTCTAACACACTACCAACATGTTACTGCCATCCTAGAACTATGTTCCAGGAGATGGCTGGGCCCTCAGTGTGATGCAGGTCTTCTTGGGAGAGTCTTACATCTTTAGGGTGGAGAAAGGGCACAGATTAACCTTAGAGAAGGGGCTACGGCTATCGAGACTCAGGTGGCATGAGACTTCCAAATGGACCAGGCCAGCAGGTCATAAGAACTGGAAGCTCACTTCCCAGTAACATAAAGGTGACTTTGCTTAAAATACGCATGGCTACTCTCTACCGTTATGAACCTATTGGATCACCTGAACTCTCAGCTGCTCAGCTTACACCTCCAACAGGCAGTTATTTAAGAATTTGGGGAGGAAAAAACTGCAGAGTGGAAGTTATCTATTACATGTACAGCCATGAACCTCTTAATGATGTTTTTCACCCAAGGACTTTTCACTTAAAGTCAGGCTATATATATATATATATATATATATATATATATATATATATATGTGGTCCCATGTGATGTCATATCCTAGTGTCGCCTGAGTATAAATAGACTTTATGATGCTTTCATGTGACAGAACACATTTCTCAGATCATCTCCTCGTGAAGCGAGGTGTTACTCCACTTTGATTGTCTGAGAGGCACTCTTCGAAGGGCTGCTCTTTCAGCACTGCAGAGTGTGACAAAGTCCCTAAGGATTTCAGCCTTATTCTGTTCCTCTCCCCTGGCTTCAGAAGCGTGGCCCCCGGCTATCACTCACCAGTAAGGCTCCTTCCTCCATCCCTGTCGCCGTCACCACAAACTCTTCCTAAAACTCCTTTTTGCCAAGCGGCGGCTGTTTCTGGCTCAATGCAGTTGTGGGCTTGTGGAACGGAGTTTGCTGAACTGGAAAGCTGCCCAATGGGTATAGGGGAAATGGAACTGACGGACTGACCGACCGCTAGGCTGTCTGGGATGACAGGACACCTCTCAGCTTCAGATTAGCAAAGCTCCTTGAGGCTCACACAGCTGGGAAGCAGACCCATCTGTTGACTAGTGACATGAAAGTGCTGTATATTTGGCTGTCGCCAAGCAAAGAATGTGCAGAGTTGGGGGTTGGAGGGACCAGGAGACAGAGCCCTCTGCCAGCAGTTCTCTAAGGAAGGGCTGGGGATGTCTTCATTCCCTGCACTCGGAGGCTTTGTCCTCTTTGTAGTTCAGGCTTCGCCAATGAAACAGCATAGACTAAGCCCTTCCTTGTAATTCAAATTCAAGTGGGAATAAAGGGTTCTTGGAGGAAGAACAGAAGAGGACACTGTGTGAGCCTAAGTTAGAGGGGGGTCATGGACATGATAACTTGAATATAAGCTTCAGTTGGATGAGATGGCCATGGGAGCAAAAGCAGGACGTGTGGATGTGTGGCTTACCAAGACAGGCGTAGAGAGAATGGA